ATCAGTGTTCCTCTCTCTCTCTCTCCCCCTCCTTCCTCTCTCTCTAAAATTAATCAGTACTTTTCTTTTTTTTTCCTTTTTTTGTAAGAGGAAAGTCTGGGACACAAACCGAACGAAGTCTTCTTACCCAGATCCAATGTTTTTAATTTTTGCACATACATTTGAAAACTTTGGGAAAGTCTTCCCTTCCTGAAATATCTCCTGCAATCCTGTATTTTAACCTTTATGTTGAAGCACAAAATCTTTCATAAATTTAGATCCCGTAGTGTCTCCATTTTCATAATTCTGAGGAAGGAAGACCAATTATTATCGTTAACTGATTTCTGGTTACTAGAGATTTAAATAGCTGGGGATTTTAATTGCCTTTCAGTTGAATCTATTTATTTCTTTTTATAAAATAAACTCTTTACTTTTTTGTTGTTGTTAATCCTCACCTAAGGATTTCATCAGTTGGTTGCCTCCTGCACGCACTCCTACTGGGGCTGGGGAAAGAACTTGCAAACCAGGCACATGCCCTTAACTGGGAATCAAACCCAAAACCTTTTGGTGTGAGGTCCAACGCTATACCACTGAACCACACTGGCCAGGGCAACATTTTTAATATGCCCCAGTTTATCTTTTTTATTTTTTAAATATGTTTTTATTGATTTTTAGAGAGAGAGGAAGAGAGAGGGATAGAGAGATAGAAACATCAATGAGAGAGAAACATCATTGATCGACTGCCTTCTGCACACCTCCTACTGGGGATAGAGCCTGCAACCCAGCCATGTGCCCTGACTAGTAATCGAACCAGTGACCTCTTGGTTCATGGGTCAGCGATCAACCACTGAGCCACATCTGCTGGGCTATTAAGTATCTATACTAATAAAAGAATAATATGCTAATTAGACTAGGAGACCTTCAGGAGACCTTCCGGACAAAGCCTGGGGCTTGGCCGGCCTGCAAACTACCCCCAAACGGCCCTCAGCCCCTTGCCCAGGCCGGCCTCGCCCCCCAAAGGAACCCCCACCCTGATCCGGGACCCCTTTCAAGGCAGACTAGCCAGCTCCACCCATGCACCAGGCCTCTATTCTATACTAATAAAAGGGTAATATGCTATGTAGACCAGGAGACCTTTCGGGAGACCTTCCTGACATCCTTCCGGACAAAGTCATGGTGGCAGGGCTGAGGCGGAGGTGGTTTAAGGGTGATCAGGCCAGGAGGTGAGGGCAGTTGGGGGTGATCAGGCCAGCAGGGGGTGCGATTGGGCTAGCAAGGCGGGTCAGTTGAGGGCAAGAAGGCTGGTGGGGGGGCAACTGGAGGCAAGCAGGCTGGGAGGCAGAA